TTTATCAAATGGAGCCTGTTTCTCAACTAATTCACTGAAGACCTGAGGAGTTTTTTTCCTTTCTTTGAAAGTTTTAAGGTTAGAGAAAAATTGGTTTTAGGTGTTATATAAAGTCCTAAATTGACTGTGAAATATAATTTATAAAATTGTACCTACTGGTCTAGAAAACCCAGCTGTTGAGCAATTTTTAAGACATGTTAATAGAAATGAAGGGCAGGACACCACAGACAGTAAGAAAAGTAGAATGTATAATATGAATTGTAATGCATTCTGCTGACGTATATAATAAATTAGAATTAAAAAATAATAAAAAAGGAAGAATATGTAACATGATATAAACAAAGGAAGAGTGTGTCTTTGATTCTACATGCACAGAACGTGTCTGCTGGGAGAAAGCAATGGGCAATGCTGCGCTCTTGGGGGCCAATCTTGGGGGAAGTCACTGAGGGAGACTGTTTACTGTGTACCCTTTTGTGTGCAAGACCACCCGAATACATTACAAAATGTCATTTTAAAACTTAAGTATTTCTAAATATAAATCTATTGCTTAATGAAATCGTAAGTCATTAGGGTTTCTATAGAGCAACCCTAAAGAAAGGTTCTTAATCTGGTGTCCACAGAATATTCCTATTACACAGGAGTCCAAGAATACAATTCAAGAGGTCTATGAAATTTGATGAAAAATAAATCATAACTTAATTTTTACCAACTTGCAAGTGGAACTGAGCCTTATCAATACTGGCAATAAAGCAAGAAGTAGCAGCAGGATCTCTGAGTGGACAGCTGGAATTACTCTAGCACCCTGGATAACGCTCTGTCGGCACAGTGACACTTGCCTCATGTCTGCCCGTTTCCCACAGCCTCACCCAGTACAGTCCTGGCTCCAGGAACTCAGACTCAAATTTTGGAATCAGAAAACGTATTAATTTCTAAACAGGGCTCCTTAAGGTGATTTGGGAAGCAAGAAGTGAGCCAAACTCCCTCTAGAACTGTTCACAAAGAAAGGAGATTAGGAATCAGCCACCAAAACCCTGAGGAAAGAGAAAGGCACACTGATGACTCTGATCCCTGCTGAGTGCCTCCCTGCAGGAACTTTGCATTATCTTATTCAATCTCCACAACAACCCTAATATCAATGAGGAAACTGAGGTACAGAGAGGTACACGGACTCAATCTAGACCAAGTACTTTCCACCCAGACCTGCCTTCTCCACAGCTCACCTCTCAACCACAGGCTGAGGTGCAAGGGAGGAAGGAAGAGATGGCCACTGACCTGGAGGCTAACTCAACATCTGACAAATTGGTTACATTCCCAACCAATACTCAAGTCAGCTCTTAAAGAGGTATGATCAGCCCCACTTTCCACATGAAGGTACTGAGGTCAGAGGGACATAACTGGTGCTTTAGCAGGGCCTGGAACCCAGGTGTGGCTGGCTAAGAACCCAAGATCCTTCTTCTTTACCCTGGGGATTTTAAAAGTTGGCCTCATATTGCTGGGCTGGTGGGTGACAAGCTGGCCAACTTCACTAGAGGGTTTCCTGTCCTCGCCATCAGAATGGCAACGCCAAGAGAGACATGCATGCATGGGCCAAGTCTTGTGAGCAGAGTTCCTCTCTTCAGCACTACCTGTAATGAGAAAAGACTGGAAACTGGTGGGATATTTCATAATAAATGGGGTCCCCACCAAGGGGTGGAAGGTAGGGAGGGAGGGTGAAATGCTAGGAAGCAATACTGACCAAATTATATTGTTATATTGGGTGCATATAAAAACATGCAATAACAAATCCCATCAATTTGTACACCTATTTGAACACAATAAAAAATGTAGAAAAAGAAAAAGAAACAGGGGTCCCTGAACACTGATCTAAAAACTGATGAATCCCAGACCCGAATAACTTTTCTACTTTTGGTCTCCCTCACTTCATCCAGGCTCTTCCCTCTGCAAAAAGTAGGGAAGAAAAAGAATTCACTGTCCAAGAAAGGACAGACACATGCAGGGGGAGAAATGAAGAAATGAACAAATAAGCCAATCAATGAACTCAACCAAAACCTCTCAATTCTCAGCTAAGGACTCAGTGCCTGGCATTAAACACCACTTATTCACTGATGTTGACCTTGTCTGTCTCAATTCCTGCTAACCAATGCTTTCTGTCACACCCCATTCTCCAGCGCCACATCTTCCAGCCAAATTCCTATAGAACTCAGCTCCTGCCTGCACACCTGGTAGATATACTCCCTCTTCACAGGGGCCCTGCCCCATCCTGGTGCTCCTGCAGCGCCCCCCCCCCTCACTTTGTCACTTAGCTGGCAACAAACACCACAAAGCAGATTCAACCCACTGTCCACATGCTCTGTTCCTGCACCTACAAGATCCCACAGCATCCCTTGGAACTTCCGGACATTTCTCTAGCCCATCAACTCTCCTGCTCACCCACACACCTGCTTTCCCAGTCAGCAACTCCCCCTCTACCCTCATTCAGCTGAGAAAATGGAAGCAGCCAGGAGAAAGGCAAGCTTCCACACCACAAGCCACCGACACAACTATAACCGAGATGGCTCTGGCTGCCTGCCACCAGCAGTTATTGGGGGAAAGTTTATAGCAGCTCTGTCCAAGATCAATCATCAAATTCTGGCAACAACTTGAGTGTCCTTTGGGTAAAAGATGACTGGTATATATGTTAGAAAAGGCTCTTTCCTGCCTGCAGAGCAGTATTCCACTGTGGGTGTACTGAAGTTCCTTTATAGCACAGAGCCATAAAAAGCAACGAACTCTGGTTACACCTCAGGGATAAGACAAAGCAGTGGTTGCTGGGGGAAGGATGCACTGCAAAGGGGGTGCAAGGCAAATTTTAGGGGTAAAAGAACTGAAAGTTGATCATGGTAGTTACATGACTCCACTCCTACTTCAAAAATCACAGCAAAATATTCACACCAATGAGTACACTTTACTGTATGTAATACTTTTAAAGACATTTTTTAAAACCCTGGAGTTCCTGCTAACTAATGCTTTCTATCACACCCCAAATTCGTGTACTAATGAGTCTCATTGGCTGTACCTCCAAAGGACAAACCCAATCAACCATGGCTGGCCACTCCACTAAGACCCAGGTTAGGCCAGCAGGGTCCCCTCCCCTCCCATCTCGCTTAGCATAAGCTCCCAAGTTCATTCAGCCAGTCAGCGGGTAACCAGATCCCCTCCCTACCTCCGGCTTGGGGGCTCCCAAGCCTCAGCTCCTTGGGTCCTTTGCTGCAACCAAGCTGGCTGCCCACAGCTCCTACCCCCAAGACTAGGCTGTCTGCAGAATCACGTCCTAGCTTCAGGAAGCTCTGTCCTTATAAGCCACCTCCTCCCGGTGGCCTTCAGTGACTGCCCGGCCAAGGAATAGCCACCCGCCCCCCCACAGTGACATTCCCGCACTTTAATCACAGTGGGAAGCCGCAGCCCCAGGGCTCATGGGGAATAAGACAAGGAAATCAAGGAGCCCTTTCTTACATTTGACCTTCCCAACCTTCCCTCAAGCCCTCCTGCTTCTCAGGTAGGCAGAAATTGGGGTGGAAAGCAAGAAGTGGTCCTAATCCCATTTTCCAGTTCCCGCTTCGCTAACCGCCGCCCTCTCGCCCCGGTGCTTTGCTTTTTCAGATGCCAGGCCCGCTCTCCAAATGTCCCTCTTCCTTTGCCAGCTCCTTGCCCTCGCCCCTCCGCGCGTGCCGGTTCCCTCCCCAGGCTCTCCGCCAGGGCAACGGCGAGCCCCGACTCCCTGCGCTCCGGGGCCCCGCCTCTGCGGCCCACCTGTTCCGGGCCCGCTTCCTACTCCGCCCGGGCCCAGGTACACACAGGCCAGCCCTCGAACCCATTCGGCGGGCCCGAGGCCTCCACCCGGACCTCACCCTTATCCTCCCTCCTCCCCACCCCCGCCGCGCGCGTCCCGCGCCGAGCCAGCCGCCGGGCCTATCCCCGACCCGCAGCCCAGGGCCTCCAGGCGGCCCCGCCTCCCCGGCTCCCCGGCTCTTCCCACTGACCACGCCTGTGCGAGCCCTTCCCCGTCCCCGCCCCTAGGCAGACCCAGGGGCGCCCAGACGGCCGGGTCCTCATCCTCGGTCCCCGCCACCTGCCCTTCTCCTGCCGGCGGCCGGTAGCCTGCTGCCCGCGCGCTCCCTTCTCCACTGCGCTCTCGGCCGCCTCAGCGTCCCCGCACCCGCTCCTTGGCCTGCCACCCCAACCCGGCGAAGCCATGGGTCCGGAGCGTGCGGCACGCTCGTCGCCCCAGCCCCAGCCCCAGCCCCAGCCCCAGGCCAGTGGCCCCACTTGCCTCGCGCCGCTCCTCGCGCCGCTCCCCCGGACGCCACGCTCAGCTCGGCGCCGCGTACCCTACAGTCCCAAGTTCGCGCCACGGAATTCGCGCGCAGAACTCGGCGGGCGGGGCGGGGCGGGGCCGTGAGGGCGGGGCCTGGGTGCCGCCGGCGCCGCCGGCGCCGCACGGAGGACGCCGGGAGTCGTAGTCTCCTCAACGTGAGGCAGCCTGGAAAGGAGGGTGAAGCAGGGCAAGCCCTCGCGCACAGCATGCTGGGAAGCGGCCCGAGCCGGCCCGAGCCTGCCCTCTCCTGAATGAGCGGGTGTGGCTGCAGGCCCCCTGGGTGACTGGCGGGAAAAGGGGATTTTCCTTTCGGAGGAAGCCGCCGCGCCGGGTACGGCGGGAAGAGAGGCGAGAGGCCGCGCGGGGCATCCCGGGAACGAGGGCCGGGCTGGGCTTCGGCGCGGGGCATTGTGGGAGGTGGACGCCGCTCGGGGTTGGGTAGGTGAGTTGGGGGGGCGGGAAGGGTGCACATCTGGGGGAGCCGAGAAGCGCCGCTGGGAGGGACGGCGGGGCGGGAGGGGCCGCGGCGAGCGGGACTAAGAGCGCTTGGGGAGGCGGGAGAAGGCTGGAGGGAGGTGTAGGAGGGAGGGGAAGACGCCGGGCATGGGGGGAGCATCTGGGGTGAAGAGCCGGTCCGAGGACCAGGGGCCCTGTCTTGAAACCAGAAGCACATTGGAAAGGACAGTGGCTCTAGCTGGGAGGAGGGGGCCGCAACTTGACCTGCGGGGCATGCATCTTAGGAGGAGGTGCACCACAGATGAATATTGGTGATACCTCAGAGTTGGACTGTCCACAAGTGGGCCACACACCTGTAGGCAGAGGGTCCGAGACTGAACGTGGGGAGCACGTCTGGACATGAGAGCATCTCTGGGAAGCAGCAGCCACAGCTGAATGTGATGATTCATAGGGTCACATCTGGGGGAAAGGCAACTGCTGCATATGGGAGATCTATCTGGGGAGGAGGGAGCCACAGGTGCATGAAGAATATGCCTGAGGATGAGAGGGCCTGGCTTGGATATGGGAAGCACATCTGGAGATGGAGCATCTGCAGAAAGGGGCATGGATAGCCAAGTGTAGGCACCTGAAAAGGGGAGTTGCCGATGAATGGGACACTCAGATTATTGCCGAGGGTGGGAGACATATGCCAAGGGAAAGAAACCTTGTCTGAAGTTCAGAAAATAAGGAGTCATCTGCGGTTGAGCTTCAGGGTCATATTGGGAGAAGTAGCCCAGCTGGACCTTACCTCAGTTAGAATAAGTTGCAGTGAGCCAGGGGGAAATGGGTCAAGGAGAGAAGAAAGATGGGGTGGAGACTCCTATCTAGAGAAAAAAATCTTGGATCCAGCTGGGGTCCCTACAGGTAGAGGTACCATCACAGACGGGGTAGACTAAGGATATGAGATACCCTGGGTGGGGATGGTTCTGAGGTATAGCACTACTCCCCCTTTCCACTCAGGGCCCCAGGATGGAACTGCCGGAGCCCCAACCCAGCCCAGCGGCCGGGAAGGAAGAGCAGGAGCTGCTGGAGCGAGCCTTCTTCTCCTGGGCCGAGTTCAGCCGCTTCTTCGACAAATGGTGCCAGCAGCGGCTGGTGGTCTTTTCAGTCAAGAGCTCCACTCATGTGGCGCGCAGCCCTTGGGCCAGCGCGCCCCCGCTGTACAGGCTCATCCACGTGCTCAAGTACAGCTACGTGCTACTGGTGTGCAAGGACATGCGCGCGGCCAACCAGCCCGCAGCGTGGTGCGTGAGCTCGGCAGGGGGAGGGACACAAGGGGGGGGGGGGGAGGAAGGGCAGGGAGCCCCGCACCCAGACATGTGAGCGAGAGAGCCAGACTGAGGCTGCTAAATATCCAGAGACTACGAGTCAAGGAAGGACGCTTACCTAAGATGGAGGTGGAGCCCAATTTGTAGACTTTCACAGAGGGAGACACAACCAAAAGACAGGAAAAGAAAATTACAGAGACTTCAGAGCAAGCCAGAGAAAGAGAGCCATGTTTAGCACACAGAGAGAAAAAGTAAGAGACCAAATTGTAGGGAAAGCCGCAAGACCTAAAGATTCCTCTGTCAAGAGAACACAATAGTGAAGTCGGGTGGGGCTGGGGGCATTAAGCAAAATCCCTGTCCTTCTAGAACTTTCAGACTGGACAGGTAGATGTACATCCAGCTCACAGGTAGCTCCCTACAGCTGTGAAATATGACAAGGAGGGGCAGGAGAACAATCCTGGGAAGCCAGTTCTCACCAGGGCCAGGGGTGTTCTCATTGATCCACATTTAAATAGCTCATTTAAGTCAAGCTGAGTTTCTAGATTCCCTTGGACAGGAAAGGGAGCTAACGGCCATCTCTTCTTTAGAGCTTTGGTGCTCAGGTTTGTGCCAGACCCTGTGGCTCTGCTGCTTCATGTTCAGTGCTCTCACTTTCCTTATCCTACCTGCTTGGCCTCTGCAGGTAGGTGTGTGAGTTTGAGATCCTGGGTTGTGGAGCCATAGATAAGAGTGGTGTGTTTTAAGAACACAGGCTATGCCTCCGGCTGCCTGAGGCCAGCTCTGCTGCCTACTAGACAGGTCTTTGGGCAATGGACTTCACATCTCCAAGCCTCACTTTTCTCAGCCCTGAAATGGGGTTGTCATAGTATCTGCCTCTGAGGACTGTTGTAAGGATGCTGTGAGATTGTGCAGGAGAAGGGCACTGCCCCAGGACCCAGGGCAGCTGGTTAAATGATGGCCGTAACAAGAGTCAAAAGTGCAGAATGAACTTCCTCTGTGGAGGATGAGTCAGTGCTGTTGAGCATGTGACTTCACCTTTCTGGCTCAGTTACCTCACTTGGAAGATGGAGGAGTCTGTCTGATAGGTTTGGTGAGGATTGAGTGAGCTGATAGATGTTAATTGTTCAGAAGCTCATCCAATACAAAAGGAGCATTCCACAGCTCTCCTCGCCCACAGTTATTTAAACATTTGTTGTTTAACATTTACTGTTCTCTAGTTGCCTCTTTATTCTAGAAGGAGAGACTCAAGGCCAAAAGCAGAACAGTGTCCATCCTGCTTAGTCCTCCCTACAGCTTGTGCCTAGAACCGAGAGATCTTTAGGGTGCTGGTACGTTCAACACATCACACGGCAGTCTAGAACATGGGCTTGCAAGAAGCTCAGGCCTAATCAGGAATCACTAACAGGGTCCAATTCAATGTAATATATTTATTGAGCACTTACTGTGTGCACACCTTTTGCTGGACATTTGGAACCCAGAGCTAGCTAGGCCCCTGAACTGCTCAGAATCTGATGGAGAAGACTAAATAAGTAAATGGAAGTAGTGGCCCATAGTTCCGAGAGTAAGATTGAATAGGACAAAAAGAATGTGGTCAGCTGTACCTGAAAGCTTACAGGATGGTTTGTAGAAGGCTTTCTATAAGAGGTGACTAGTAATTGGAACCTTGAAGGACTTTGTTTCTATCTTTATGTATGCACAGTGTTTGACTTAATAAGTACACGGTGCTTAGTATGTACAAGTAATGTCCCAATGATTATCAGAGCCCTGGGCAGGACAGACAGGGCTATAGAGTAGGTGAGGACAGTGCCTTGGGTATGGGCCTGGTGACCAGTTGGACCATGGGGTGGGAAACTCAAGAGGGGTCAGTGACTTGGACCTATCAATCATTTCTGAGCTCTTACACCTACCCCCAGCTGCTTGAAGCCGGGTCTCTTCTGTGTCACGGTCCCTGAGCCAAGGTCTGAGACTCAAAAGTTAGTATAAGAAGAGGCAGAAGTGAGGAATGTCTTCAAGGCCTGAACATTGCAGGGCTGAGTCCAGTGTCTGAGATTTTATCCTGGGGGTGCCAGGGAGCCCCAGAAAGCTGTGAGCAAGATCAGCTCTGGGTGTAGCAAAAATCCCTCTGAGCCACGTGGTAGACAGTATGGAGGAGAGTTGGGAAGCTAGAAAGGAGCCTGCAGCCTGGGGTCCAGGAAACAGGGGGTTTCTTCCTGACCATTCCTCCCCTCTTTCCAAAAGTTGCACAGTGACCCCCTCCAAGTCTCCCTGCTGCTCCAGCTGTCCAACTGCCTGTCCCTCTCCCTCACCTCTGAGCACTTCCCTCTCTAGGTCAGGATTGCTCAACCTTTCCCAACACCCTCCAGCCTTTGAAAACATAAAGATATTTAAAACCTGCAAGATCAAGAGTAAAAGGGGCAAGGAGAACACAAATAAATCAAAAGTACTTTTAGAAGAAGAAAAAAAAATGTATTAAAAATAGTGGCTACTGCTTTTCAAGTGTTGGTTAGGTACTCACCCCTTTTCTACATTATTTAACTCTGTCTGTGAGGCTGATATTATTTCAGCCACAATTTCCAGATGAGGAAACTCAGGCACAGACTTTCCCAAGATAGCACAGCTGCTAAGAGGGAGACCAGAATTGGGACTCCACTGTCTGACTGCAAAGTCATGCTTCTTATAGCCATGGTCTTCCCTTCCCTCTGTTTTTACTTCAGTCAGTATGTGAATTGAACATACCAGCACCCTAAAGATCTCCTGGTTCTAGGCACAAGCCTCCTTGTCCAAGAGAATTGTTTTGAGTACTTGCTAAGTGCAGGGTATATACCTTCGATGCTGGGGTTTTCTGAGGAGTGTACAGAACAGACAGCATCAATCAAACCATCACCTTGGTGTGTGATGGAATTTGTCGTAGACCAAAGATGGTCAGGGAAGGCTTCCTGGAGGAGGTGGTGCTGGTTCTGCAGTTGAAGGATGAGTAAGAGTGGACTAGGTTGAAGGAAGGGAGAAGGGTGTTTCATGAAGGAGGAAGCACTGATGGCTGTGGAGAAATCTGGATGGTCAAGAGAGGTTTCCGAGGAGTGATGGGCAGGTGGTGGTGATGGATGGTTTTGATGGGATGGGGGTGCATATCCCAGGGAAGGTGTGACAAGTGTCTAGGTCACCAAGTGGATTCAGGCGTTCACTTATCATACCGTTGTCCCTGGGGATTGGTTCCAGATTCCAAAATCCTCAGCTGCTGAGTCCCTTATATTCAATTGCTTAGCATTTGCACATAACCTCTACATCTTCCCATCTACTTTAAATTGTAGGTGACACACCTAATATGTGTAAATGCTATGTAAATTGTTCTGTGTTGTTTAGGAATTGACCAAAAAAAAAAAAAAAGGTCTATATGTTCAGTACACAAGTTATTTTCAAATATTTTGATTCATGGTTGGGTGAATCTGAGGATGTGGAACCTGTGGATATGGAGGGCCAACTGTATACTTCATGAACACCTGCAGAGGCAAGGTACTGGTCTAGGTGCTGGGGACACAAAGATGGGTAAAACAGACAAAAGTCCCTGTCCATGTGGAGTTTGCATTTAGAGTGGGGGATGGGTAGCATTACCACCCCCACCCACAGGTGGAAGGAAATCACAACAATGGTGTGTTGGGGCACTTGTAGGTGGTTATGTGAGACTTCATGAAGAGGTGGCCTCCCCTGAGGGAGGGCCTGTCCTAGGGGCTGAAACTCCTAGGCTGAGAGAGGCCAGAGCAGTTTCACAAAAGTGCATGAACTATTCCAGGAAAATGGCCTGGGTAGAATCCTGTGAACTTGCCATTTGGTACATCAGAAACAGCTGCATGTGGGACATGGTGGCGCTGTAATCCCAGTGACTCAGGAGTCCGAGGCAGAAGGATCAAGTTGGAGGCCAGTCTGGGCAAAGTAAAGGCTGGGAGATGTAGCTCAGTGGCAGAGTGTCCCTGGGTTTATTCCCCAGCACTGCAAAAACAAACCAACACAAAACTGCTGTTGGCAGTTTCTTTTGCTTTCACCTGAAGCCGCATGGTGAGTGGACATTTGTTTTATTTATAATGATTTACATGCTTAAAATTTTTCTCAATTTGCATTATTTTGTTGCTTTAAATTAGGCAAAAAGTTTCTAACTCTAGCCAGGTGTGGTAGCACACACCTGTAATCCCAGAGACTATGGAGGCTGACGCTGGAGGATCTGAGTTCAAAGCCAACTTCAGAAACTTAGCAAGACCCTGTCTCTAAATAAAATATTTAAAAGGACTGGGGCTGTGGCTCAATGGATGAGGGCCCCTTGGTTCCATCCTCAGTACCAAAAAAAACCCAAAAAGTTTCTAATTCCAGATTTTCTTAAACTGTCATGTAAGAGGAAAGGGGGGGTGTCCAAGATCCCCTTTTGGTTTAACAAGAAAATTCTTGAGTATTTATCCTGGTGGTCCTGAGGGGGGTCCCTTTCTCAGGAGCACATGGAGAAAATGTGTGATCATTCTCTAGGGGGCACTACTGCCTCACCAGGAGCCAGGGCTTCTTCACTACTGGCTGGGCCCTGGAATGTTACCAAGCTCAACCAAATAGGAGGCCTTGGGGCCAAGCCCAGCCTGTGACCCATTGTTATAATTAAAGCTTTATTGGGACACAGCCACATCCATTCATTTGCACATTGTCTATGGCAAGTGTGTAGAAGGGCTCCAGGATATGTTTATTATCTGGCCCTTTGTGGAAAAAGTTTCCTTCACAAACCTGAAACCTCCTACCAACGATGCTGATGTCACACCCTCATGGAGAAGCACTGGCCCTTCCCCGACCTTTAAGGAAGCAGATGCCAACATGAACATTACCAGGGAGATGCGGGTTGAGACTTTTTGTTTCTTTTTTTATTTGGTTTGGTTACAGTGCTGGGAATCAAACCCAAACACAATTTCTTTTTCCCGTTCTATTTCATTCTTCATCCTGGGGTTCTAACTGCCTGTGCCATGGGCTACACCCTGCAGCTTGAGGACCACCCTCCAGACAAGCTTGCTTACACTCAGAGGTGGCCTGGAGAGGGCCCAGTGGGATGCTGTTTGTGAGGAGGAAGACCTGCGAACCCTCCCCAGCCGGAGAGTCTGCAGTGAGCGTGAGGCAGGGGTGAAGGAACGAGGCTAAAAGGGAACCTCTGAGCAGTAGCTGGCAGGCTGCCAAGGGACACGGTGACGCCGTCTCTCTCTCCATAGCTGTTGTAATGAGCCACGACCACCACACTGCCCGAGATGATAATTATTATTTTAGAGTTCTGGAGGTCAGAAGGTCTCACTCCAGCCTGCGGTCCTCCCAGGGGCTCTGGAAGAACCTGCTTCCAGCTTCTGGAGCCACCAAAGTTCTTTGGCTCGGCTCCTACCTCCATTGTCAAAGCCAACAGAGCAGCATCTTCGTCTGTCTCTGTTTCTTGAAGGAGATGACATTGGGTTCGACCAATAATCCAGAATCCCCCCATTTTAGGACCCTTAATTTTTTTTTTTTTTTTTTTTTTTTTTTTGGTACCAAGGATTGAACTCAGGGGTACTTGACCAATGAGCCACAGCCCTATTTTGTACCCTATACAAAATACATTATTCTGTATTTTATTTAGAAACAGGACCTCACTGAGTTGCTTAGCGCCTCGCTTTTGCTGAGACTGGCTTTGAACTCACGATTCTCCTGTCTAAGCCTCCCAGAGCCACTGGGATCAAACTTTCAAAAAGTTTAATATAACATCATACATGGGCAACATGGTGATTTTTTCCCCAAAATCAAACATGTAACTAGCACCCTGAACAGAAGCCAGAACATGTCTAACTCCCCCCACACACTGCCTCCCTCCCCTGAGGGTTAAGCCCAGGGAAATCGCTGTCTAGCCTCCTCCAACAGCCACTTGCTGCTGCCTGCTGTTGAAGTCTATCTGGCTTCTGACACCTGGTGTGTGGAGGGCGTCCATGTTGGAGATCATAAAGGTTGTGCCTTCTCAGTGTTGATGAGCATTTTACTCTTGGGATCTGCCACAACTTGCTTTCTCACTCTTGTATGTTGGGTTTCGTGTATTTGGCTGGTAGGTGGCACTGCGGTGAACAAGCCAGCTCACAGCACCTGCACGTCTCCTTTGGTGCCCATGTGCAGGCATTTATCTGGAGTAGGATAGCAAGGGCACAGGGAGGCGGGGCCCTGCCAGTGGGTCTGCCGCACGGTTTTCCATTGATGCTCGTGTTGGTGGCATGACAGTTCTGGTTGCTCTGTGTCCTTGTCAAGGCTGCATGTTATCAGTCTCTCTCTCTCTCTCGTGTTTTTTTGTTTTGCTTGAGACAGGGATCTGGCTGGGCTGCCCAGACTGGCCTTGAACTCCTGGACTCAAGCAATCCTGCCTCAGTCTGGCAGGCAGCTGGGACTACAGGCTCCTGCCACCATGTCCCTCACTGATCTCTTAGGGCCATCCTGCTGGTGTGTAGTGGTATTTCTTTGGGTTTTTCACTGGTCATCTCCTTGGTCATTGCCCCTGGGGTATATGAAGTTGGAAAGCAGAGAAACACACCTTCCCTTGCTTAGGGGCACGTAAAACCATGTGGGAAGGTGAAGTCCATGATTTTGGTAGTGGCTGCCTCTGGGGGCAGAATGAAGAGGGGTTTGTTAGGGCAGAATTCACCCAGGGCTTCAACTTGTGATGCTGTTATTGCTAAACCAGAAGCAGATACAAGACTAAGATGTTTTATTGCTGAAGTCTTTGGAAATATAATATAATATAATAAAGCATTGGTTCACTTTTGACAGCTGGTGGTGGGTACAGAATTTTCACAAACATGTAGTGCTTACTGTGTGCTCTACACGTATCAGCCCTTTCCATCCTCAACCCTATGAAGAAGGTCTGATGATTGTTAACCCACCTTTGAATGTATGTGGAAACTGAGGCACAGAGACCTGAAGTGACTTGCCCAAGATCACACAGCCGGCATATTCTTAAAAGGCCCTCTACTCTTCTCTATGATTAAAACTTAATTATTTAAAAACAAGAAAGAAAAAAACAGAGAGGAAGGAGAGAGCGGCAGAGGGATGTGACCTGCTGTGGTGGTTCCTCCCACAGGCCCCCCCAGCCCAGCTGCCCGGCCTTCATCACCGTCAAGCTGAGCCCCCTGCGGGACCGACTAGTGGTGTCTGAGTGCCAGCTGACCCACTCGCACCCGGCCTGCCCGCGGGAGTTCGCCTACCACTTCCGCCCTGGGCACCTGCTGGCCAACGCCTGCCTGCCGGTGCGCATCACCAACCAGATCTCCAAGCAGTTCGTGGCCCCCGCCGACGTGCGCCGCCTGCTGTCCCACTGCAAGGGCCCCGACCACGGTGTGCTGGACGCCCTGCACGTGCTGGAGGGGCTCTTCCGCACCGACCCCGAGGCCAAGGTAGGATCTCAGGAGACAGCCAGTCGCTTGTCCCTTCCCTACCCACTCTGCCCTGCACCCCTTCCCTGCACCCACACATTCCTTAGCTCTGTGGACAGCCGGCATGGGGCAGAGAGAGACTCGTCCCTGTCTCCTGTGGGATGTGCACCTGTCCCCTGCAGAAATGTGCACCTGTCCCCAGTGGGAATGTTCTGATCCTGTGCCTGTGAGTGCTTGAATCGCAGCCAGTGTGAGGGGAACTGGATGCGTTTAATATTAATCCATTGAAATTCACATAGCCATTTATGACCGTCGGCTACTTGCAGTTCCAGTAGGAGAAAGCAGCAGTGGACAAACATGTCCAGGTGTCAGTACTGCGGGGGAATAGGGGGAGGACGCCAAAGCTGGCAGAAGATGCTAATTGTTTTTAAATTAAACTACAGATAGAAAATGCACAGTACAAAACAATCAGTATATAGTTTGAAGAGTGTTCACAGGGTTCCACGCCCAGATCAAGAATGAGAAGGGGGTGCTGTGCCCTAGAAGGTGACCGAGTGGAGACCTGTAATGCAGAGCAAGGCCGGGGCTTTCAGAGGACGCGCTGCAAGGGTGCTGTTTGATCTGAGTGGTCAGGCAAGGCCTTTTTAAAGAGAAGGTGAATCAGGGAAGGGACGGGACGTCCATGTCGTCAGAGGGAAGAGCTCCAGGAGAGGGGGCAGCCAGTGCCAAGGCCTAGAGGCTGGAGCAAGCTTGGCGAGTCGAGGGTGCTGCCCCTCCATCTCTGCAGCCCAGGGAGGGGGGAAACTGGTATCTCCACATGGCTGTGTCTTTGTCTTTCAAGCTTAGAAATGAACTCAGCTCAGGGTAGAGCTGAGCTGTGCACCCATCCCCCTTGCACAGGCCCAGAGTACTCACCCATCATCTGGCCAGTAACCGGCCTGTATCCTCAGGTAATGCTGATAACTTAGCTAAAGTCTTCAGTGTATCAGGCACTACCCTAAGTGCTTTCCATATCCTCCTTCCTTATTCTGTTCTTTGTCCTTTGTTTGTTTGTTTGTTTTTTGATCTGGGGATCAAACCCAGGGCTTTAAGTGCTTACCAGAGCTCCATGCCAGCCCTTGTTGTCATTGTTGAAATCTCACCTCAGATGAATGAGGAAGGCCTTCACTATTCTCATTCCCCATTTTGCAAACAAACAAAACCCCTGAGGTATCGAGAAGTCAAGTAACTGGCCCAGAGTCCTGAGCTGTTTAATGGCAAAGCGGGGTTGGGGCCCACAGTCTGGATCCAGGCTGTAGTCTTCACTGCTGTGCCCTTGCCCAGTTGGAAGCATGGCCCAGCCCCACTCCAACAATCCCATCCTCCAGAAGGTAACAGCCCTACCCAAGTCAGTTTGCTGCCCTGAGAAAAATGGGGGTATGCACACACAAACTCCCTACTCCACTGGTCTTCACAGAGCTAATAACTGTCGCCCACTGTCCCCACTGAATAAATAAACCTCAGGTGGTCTCCCCAGAAGCACCCCGCAGGTCTTCCATGAATTAAAGCCATTTGTGGAATGGGATTGGCTTTAAAACTTCCATCTTGGATGCTGCCAACCCAAACTGGGTTTAATGAAAAGCCCCTTTGTCACCTCCTGGCCCCAGGTCCCCTCCTCACAGGTCAGCAGAGTCACCAGTTGCTCATAGATTTAATATCTTCTTATTCTATGGCCCAGCATTGACTAGTGGATCTTTCTACAATGATAGAAACATCTGTGCTGTCCAGTGTAGTAGCCACTGGCTCCTGGGACTACTGACCACTTTGTTAGTATGAATGAGGAACTGGAGTTTTAAAACTTAAAGTAATGGAAATTTCAACAGCCCCATGTGGCTGGCGGCTTCTGCGTTGGACAGCACAGTGCTATAAATGTGCAGGTAAGTTTGCATTTCTGTATTTTTAACCTCATTTACTCCTCCGCCCCTGCCACTCAGCAGGGCTGCGTGTTCTGCACACGACTTTGCTCTGGCTTTCTGTGTTGGGGAGGGCCAGGGGTCAGTGTCTTTCATTCTTCCTCTGGGGCTGGTCAGATCCCCCTGAGAAAGCTCCATCCTCCTGGCTGGAGGAGAAGGCTAGGCTGCCCACTTCTGGAACCTCACGGGGAAGAGGCAGGGGAGCTGGCTCTTGGTCAGCAAAATGCACCCAGTCCCATATGGGATTCCCCCTCCCTCATCCTCAGATGGGCCTGATTCCCCAAGGCCAGTGCCCCTTTCTGCTTTACTGTCTACAGTAATGGGGACCAGCAGACAGGGTAGGAGGAGGGAAAGGTGGGATTTGGGGGTCAAGTTGCTTCTTTACTGCACCTGTATTGTAACTTCTCACTGCGGATTTGCCAGGTCCGTAGGAGGACTGTGCGGTTGGTACTCAGTACTCCCTAGCTCTGGCTTAAGGTTTATGGGGTTTTTTTTGGTAGGAGAGGAGTCAGCTTGTTCTTCTGTTTTCCAAATTCCAAAGCTTGGTACCTACCATCTTTCCTATTGCCCCTGTTCTTTCAGGTTGTAAAAAGTCATTCCTATAGATGGGTTTGAGGTTCAAGAGAAAGTGAGATGTGTCCAGGCCATCAGTCACATACTTTCACCAGCTTGCTTTCACTTAAAGGGTCTATTTAAAGAGTTCTGCATTATTAATATGTCAATAATTATAAAAAAAGAATGCTTTATTGTCATTCCAAGACTAGCTAAGCAAGTGTCATACATTATTCTTTTCGCTTTGCAGCAGTCTTCCAAAGGAGAATGTATCTCTTTGGGTCACTGTAACAAAATGCCCAAGGCAATCAATTTATAAAGGGGAAAGTTATTTATCTCACAGTTCTGGAGGTTCCAGTCCAAGACTGGGCAGCACAGCTGTGGGGTGACTTGGGTACAAAGTTGATAACTGTAATTGGTGAAAGCAAAAGATTGGAAACAACCAGATGTCACCAGTGGGTGATGGTTGGTTATTTAATCTATGGCACATTCATCATGGAACACTATGAAGTTCTAAAAAGGAATGAGAAAACTCTAGGCCCTGATCTGGAAAGATCTCTCAAATGAATTTTTTAATATATATATATTTTTAGTTGTAGATGAACATAATACCTTTATTTATGTATGTATCTATTTATTTATTTTGTAGTGCTGAGGATTGAACCCAGAGCCTCACACATGCGAGGCAAGTTCTTTACCACTGAGCCATAACCCAAGCCCCTCTCAGATGCATTTTTGTGTTTAAAAAAAAAAAAGCAAGTTGCAAAACTGCACACAATGCACCATGTTATGTATAAATTAGAGAAAATAAGACATACAGGTATGCTTGCTTATATTCACAGAAAGAAACTTCAGAAGCATGCCAAGAGAAGTGGATGGGGTGGAATAGAGAGCAGAAACGGGATGATTAGAATGGAGAGCTGGGAGTGTGACATTTAATTGCTTAATTACATGAATTCCATCGTTTCACTTTTGGGCCATGTGAAATTTGCACATTCAAACCATTAATTTTTTTTCTGGCACTGGGGATTGAACCCAGGGCACTTTACCACTGAGCCGCATCCCCAGCGCTTTTTATTTTTTATTTTGAGACATGGCCTCCCTAAGTTGCTGAGGCTGGCCTCAAACTTACAGTCCTCTCAAGTTTCTTGGATTATAGGCATGCGCCACCATACCCAGCTCCAATAATTAATTTTTAAAAAGAAAATGAAAAGTGTGAAATAGTCCCAATGTTCTATACCCATTTGTTTCTCTTTTAAGAGGAAAAATTAGGGGGCAAATGACGGGGCCGTGTCAGGCCTGGGGTTTGCTCTAGTAACAACCAGCCCTGGCATCTCAGTGGCTGAGCTCAGTGGGCTTTACTCACTGCTCACCCACAAGGAGAGGAAGCAGGAAATACTGCCAGTCTTTCATTTGGGCACCCAGAAGGACAGGCTGTACTCTATCTGTCTGGGATGGCAGTTAGGGCTCTGTCCAGAAGTGATGTCTGAGGTCATTTCTGCTCACAGTTCATTGGCCAAAGCAAGTCACATGACCCTGCCTACCTGCAAGTAGTAAGGAGAGGTGCATAATTACCTAGTGTCCCGGATGGAGAGAACTGCAATTACTTGGAAAAGGATAAAGGACATTCTGGGGAGCCACTTCACCAAGACCCTCCCAAAACCCTGCCTGAATCTGGGGCTCAGGGTCCCCCTGCTCTGTAGACTCTGGGCCTCCTGCAGCTCACTCCCAGCAGGAGTGTTCTCTATGAGAGCCTATTTTTGCATTAGATCAGCCAACTTTGGAAGGACAAAATAACAGCTGCCAACTTCTATGTTGATATGTGCTAGACAGCTTTTTACACATTCTCACTGTGCTATGTGTGGCTTTGGGACATTGAACAAGTTTTGAACAGGCTACCTAATTTCTATGAGCCTCAGTTTGGGGACAAAAACAATAGATAATACCTTATAGAACAACAGATAATACCTATTGCTATGTGAGGAATAGGTTTGTATGTAACAGGGAGAGGAGAAAACAATGCCCAGAAAGTAGGAAGCCCTCTAGGTGTTAGCTCTCCAGCTACTATTTTTATTCCCTCAATCCCCCCCCCCCCCCCCCCCCCCCCGCACATCAGAGTGGAAAATAGTACTATTCTGATCTTGTGATAAAGGAAATGTGGACTCAGATGTAGGAAGAGGCATAGGTAGAACATAGTGCTGTGATTTCTGGTGTTAGCACATGTAGAATCTTCTAAGGTAGATGCTTTTTCTGTTACCAATTTGTGTGTCTGGAAGTGACACCTACACTCACTTGGGTCCTCAAAGTCTGTTCCTCCCTGGGCTCCTGTGTCCCCCCAAATGAACCACCATGCACTATATACCTCCAGCCAGAAAACTCTGGGTCAGACCTGTTTGGTCACTTTCACAAAGTCATGAGTATACAGTGATAACAAACAGATCAAATCCTTGCTCTACCTGGCAGGTACTATCTGGGTGACTTGAGGCAAGCAGCCGGACCTCAGTGCCTCAGTTTCCC